TAAAAAGTTAAATCTATCCTCTATATTAGGTATGGGCTAGGTCCTAGGTACTCAGGAACAAGAGACAAAATTAGGATCAGGGTTGAAAGTGGTGTCAATGTGAGAGACGGTATGAGTCGAACGGCGAAAAAGAGCAGTGGGGCAGAAAGATGTTAAAGGAAGCTTACAGCCGTTATCATAACCGCCTATCGATAATATGTATTGAAGGTGAGGGGCAAAAGAGCAGAAGGCGCAACTTTATTATGACGCCTAAGTATTACAACAGCAGCTACATAAGGTAGGCAACCTAACAAGCCTCTTAAGGTTAGGTAGGTATTGTACTTAACCTACCTAACCTACCTAACCTAGAGCTAGAGCTTAGGAGGTTTAGCGCACTTGTTATCTCCGCAGTGTGTACATTTCTGCCCGACTGGCTGGCAGCTGACCGCCTTTCGCTTTTGCTAATGACGAAACTGTCTTAGACCCTTGCTAGAACTGAGGTAGATCTTCTACCGTAACTTTTTATAACATCGTGAAAACACCACCTAAATGCTTAATTTGGTAGACTTAGGTAGTTAGCGTTGGACGTCAGACAGGCTAGTCTGGCACTGGAGCCCGACTCTTGATCTCCTATCAGACGGAAACGCCACTTCTATCATATTATATTTTAGTTATACTTCGTACAGATTTCTCGCTTTAATACTCATCCCCAAACTTATTGTGCGCTGAAAGCGATGCGTTGCTAAAATAATTCCAATTACTAGTCTGCCACTAATAGCTACCTCATACAAATTCGCCTCTTCCTTCAATATATCCGGCATGTCTGACGATCCAGTTCCCCTGGCATCTCTATCACTCACCCACGTCCACTATGTGAGCTCATATCCGTCTGCCGGGACCCCATCCCAAAGCTAACTAGAGTCTCCCAACTCTACAGGACCCCTCCGATCCTATATCCTACCTCTGCGCCTGGTTGGCCCTGATCCCCCAGGGACTATGCGTCATGTACGCGACGCTAATCTGGTCGACCCGCGAGATCGAAATAGCACTTCTGTTCGCGGGCCAGCTCGCCTGCGAGGCCCTCAACTTCGCGCTTAAGCGATTGATTAAGGAGGAGCGACCGCGCCGTATGAACGGGAAGGGCTACGGTATGCCGAGCAGCCACGCGCAATTTGTCGCGTACTTCGCCGTCTCGATAACCCTATTTCTACTACTTAGACACCAACCGCCGAGTCCCAGAGTCAGGAAGCGGAACCACACGCCGATGAGTCTGCTTGAGAGGACGGGATGGAGCGCGATTGGGCTGGGCATGGCGGCTGCGGTTGCGTGGAGCAGGGTATACCTAAACTACCATACCGAGAAACAGGTTCTAGTAGGCACTGCCGCCGGGGTGGTGAGCGCTGTGGGTTGGTTCGTTATTACGACTATAATACGGCGGTCTGGCTGGTTAGCATGGGCATTGGACACGCCTATAGCCAAGTTCTTCCGCGTCAGGGATCTCGTTGTGGAAGAAGATCTATGCCAGGCCGGCTGGGAGAAATGGGATGATAAAAAAACAGCACAAAAAGCAAAGCGAAAACATAAGTAAACTTCTCATAGTAGCCTAAGGTTAAATTACATGTAGTTAAAAGTTCACACTACTTTGGCGAGCGGCCATGGCGAAAATGAAGGTCATCTCAAGCAATCTCGAAAGGTCTACATCGAAGGAGTAAGCAGTATCCCAGGTGCTACGAATGGGGGTTGATGCCATTTCAATTTGTAATATACTATACTCTAGTCTCGGGGTAACTCCTGAAATGCCAACTAGCTACAGTATATTCAAACAACTACATTTAATCAAGATGTCATCACAACATCCATATCACTACCATTCTCCACCAATTTCATGCTATTTAAGCTGGGCGCGAGACTATCCATTTCCTGCAGGGTATATTCCACCAGATAGCTCTCCTCAACCAGCTCTTCCATACGTTTATAATGTCTCTCGGTATAGACCTTGAGCGCGTTCAGGACCTCCTTCACACTCTTCTGGCCCCGGGCTCCTTTAATGGATAAATTGGAGAAGCGCGACGCTGGGTAACTCTTTATGAGCGCCCAGAGAATTCGCTGGGTCATCGGTGCTGTCCGAGCGTTGGTATTCCAGTCTCTCAGCCTTAGCAGAAGCAAGAATAGCTGGTCGTCTGAAAGAGACGCTAGCACTTCGTCGACTGCCTTTAGGCCTGAAAGACTCTCGGGATCCGCCGTCTTCGAATTAACTACTCGTTCGAAAAGGCTCTGAAGCTTACGAGGGTGGTTGAGTTGAAGCGCCATCGTGATTGCCTCGCGGTAGGCTCCCACGTATTCGTAATTTTCAAGTTCCTGTTCTTGCTCAATACGCTTCAGAGCTGCTTCATTGGAAGCAGTCTGCGTCTCGCTCGAAGTATCCTTCCAAAACGTTACAGTTGAGTCACCGCTACCGGAGACAATCATATTCGACTCGGGATGCACCGCGAGAGCCCAGACTCGATCCTCATGGTTATCCAATGTGCATTCGTTCTCGCCGTTATTGACGTCCCATACTTTCACCAACCCGTCTCCTCCAGCACTGGCGCATAGTATAGGCTTTTTACTACGTTCTTCGTTTGGAGGGATGTTAAGCCATACTACTTTGAGGACCGTATTCGAATGCCCCTCGAATGTTCTCAAGCATGTATAATCTGTAAGATTCCAGAGTTTGACAGTCTTATCACCACTTCCCGTGAGTATTACACCTTTCCCAGCAACTGATCCTTGCTCGCCCTGGAGCATGGGTGTGCTAGGGGGGGCGAAACTGACAGACCAAACACCTCGCCGATGGCCTCGGAGGATGCCTTGCACTTCTCCCTCTTCTATTGACCATACTTTCACGGTTTTGTCCTGGGAGGCCGAGGCAAATAAGCGTGATGCATGATTCATGTCGATAGCATTGATATCCTTGTCGTGAGCCTTTCGTGTATAAGCAGCTCTAATGGTCGTTTTTGCGCCCTGTTGGGGCTCTTTAGGTACCTCCCAGCGTTTTATAGTTTGATCCGACGATCCCGTGATTAGGAACGAAGGTGGGTGACTTAATGGGTCAGCATATGCCTTTGAACCTTCTACCGGTCGACTTCGAGGTAATGCCACGGCCCCGACAGATTCGGCATGTCCTGGAAATGTTGCCCAGCAGATATAAGAATTATTAGCCGGGTCTACTCGCCACAGCTTCGCGGTGTTATCTTTAGCGCCCGTAGCGACCCAGTGTCCAGACCAGTCAGCATCAAGCGATATGATGATGTCTTCATGACCCTTAAGAAGGGCAATATCCTGCCCAAAATACTCAGAAGACACTATAGCTTTTGACCCAGGCCTTGGCCCAGTTACTGAAACTATCCGGATGTCTTCGGAGTTCGTTGCCAAAGCCATTGCAGAATGGTCCCGAAGTAGATACCGTAAGTCTATGATATCGTCGTGGGTGCCTGAAATTCGACGAACCGGTTCCGGAGGCGGGAGTTGAGATTGCTTGTGGACATCGGAGGGAATATCATATAGAGATAGAGTGTGATCGACCTGGACACAGACTACGAATGGGAACTCTGGCCTATAAACAGCTCCTACAAAAGCTTCAACCTCGGACTTGGGCGCTTGTTCTTTTGTGAGTTCACGACCGGTTTCTGTGTCCCAAAAGCGTAAGCACCCGTTCGACCCAGCAGTATAGGTGAGTTGGCCATCCCCAATAAAACCAGCTGCCTCGACGAGTTCGAAACATGGAACGACCCTCCGCACTTTCCAAGACTTTGTATCCCACCATCTGATCGTTTTGTCTCTACCGGCAGTCACCAGCACGTTTTGAGAGGGAGAATAATCCAGGCCTTGGACATCCGAAACGTGCGAGTCGAGGTTCGCTACAACACTCCTCTTATGTAAATCCCATATACGGACTTTTCCATCTTGACTTCCCGAGGCCAGTCGGAATTTCGCCGTGGAACTCGTGTCATTTCTATCATCTTCAGTTACACCTTTTGGTTTTCCCTTTCCTCCCCTTTCCTTTGTGTCGTTTTCCGGGGCGCTTGGCGAGCCTGCGGCAAATTCGAAAAAGTAAAGGGCAGATACAAGCACGCTCGGCCCTCGAAAAGTATGTGTGACATAACCGCCATTTATATCCCAGACTTTAATAGAACCATCGGTTCCTCCAGTTGCTAAGAGGGTGCTAGTTCTATCGACGGCGAGAACAACGACGGGAGTCGCGTGAGGTTTGAGCGTTCGTACCAATTGAGGTTCTATCGAGTCTCTTGAGGACTTTAGGGCATATATCCGCATGGATAACGAACGGGAGCATATGATGAGGTGGGACCCCGAAGGAGTCACTGTATTACAATGAGCTATGGTGCGCTTGGTTTTGACGGATGTTCACATCACTTACAAGTTAAGGTAGATATTAATTCTCCATCCTATAAGATAGATGTCAGTGTAGATCCAATTAGTAATAGCCACTCAATCACCAAACACTGACCCCTTCCACTGTTGTGATATGTTTTCCTGTCTTGATGTCGGTCAAGACTGCATCCTCACCAAGGGTTGTTGCGAGGATTCGTGCGCCATTCTCCAATGCGACAGCGCCACCTGTAAAAATGGGCCGAATTACTTCACTGGCCTCGAAGGTAGTCTTAAACGGCGCCTTATTCGCCATTTCGGAACTGCGCAAATATATAAATAAGTTGCAAAAGCCTATTCTTTCTTTGCTGGTGGTATGTTCAGGAATTTTTTATGACGGCGATGGATATCGATAAGAATTTCTTAATGTACCTAACCTGCAAGTACCTTAGGTAATCTGCCCCTAGCACCGTAGCTGCTGCTAGCAGGTCCATATTGTATTGTATTGTACATGTAGGTACGTACTAGCCTTAGGTAGGTACCTAAGTAGTACATCTTAGTCAACCTATGCTTCCCCAATGTTAACATTACATTAGTTAGGTAGGTACCTAAGGTACAATAAGAACATTCCACAACTTCATCAACTCCAATCTCATGTCTTTCCTCAAAACTTAAAAGATTTCTTATTAAATCTCAGATTCATCTAAAACGAAATCCTCTCCATATGCACCGAACGAACTGCATTTCATAATGGGACGACTTGAGCCCTTAACGTCCCTAGCACTAGTATGTACTCAAATCTAATCTCAATCCTATTATCACGACGAGGAGCTCATGAATTTATAGGGTAGATCTCCTTACGATGAAGTCGTTCCAGGGGAAGGAGAGCAAGATCCTCATGAGCCTGAAAAGCAATACGACGGGACGGGTCGTATTGTGAATCTCCGAACAAAGAGGATCATTAAGGATATTATTCGCGCCCACAATGAGGTAATGCTGGTCATAGGAGTCGCCGAACCTGAGAATAACGGCGTTAGCCCAGCCGACATAGAAATTACAAGGCAGTATCACGAGTATGAGAGTGACACAGGACGAACGCTATATCAAGCTGGTACAACTCTTGGTATATTAGGCACCTGGGGTGTTCTCAATATCCGACGACGTATTCTGGTAAGTTAAGATATAACTACCCCTATTATAAAGGCGAGTTTTCTCTATACCCCCTAACATTCTAATAGGTGTATAAAAGACACGCAGATGTCTCGTTCTTTCGTATGATACAGACGGAACGCAGTAACCATTCCATTCTACAGTTATGCTTTGCAGGCTATCCGTGCCACCTGGTCATGCATGGATTGCGGTTGACTTCCAGGTACATGAAGGCATTTACGACCAGAGGCAAAAACCCTTGGTAAGTTTGGTACCTTGGTTATCCATGATGAAGGCTGATGTTTCCTAGGCTTCATGGCGCCATCGAATATGTTCGATTTCATTTACACCTATTCCTTACAATGCAACGTTTGGATTTGGTACCCGCATCTCAGCTGCTTCCCGGCCCCAAGTTTTTCATACCCTTCTCTAGCTCTTCTCCATTAGTTGCACCACCTCCGCTTGAATCATTTAGCATCTCGAGCGTCTCTAGGTGGGTCGGTCAGTTGATTATGGGCCTGGCACCTTACGCTACATTTTATGTTTGTGGTTTTCTTTGGCAGTCGGCATGCGCTACATGTAGGCTATACATACGAAGGCGTCTACCACGTCCTTTAAATTTCCATATGAACAGTCGAGGTCCGGGTTCCACTAGCGCAACTCAGAGGCAAGCCGTTCCGGAATCGCCGACTTTGGGAGCAGCTGATAGGGATGCTAGATCTCAGAACTTAGAAGCTGATGCTGCGACTTCGCTAGCTCTAGATGTCCAATCCAATGGTGAAGCAGTTCCGGTCGGCTCAATCAGGCGACAAAGCACATTTTCAAGCCGGGGCGGGGAAGATTACGGGACCGACGAAGAAGACTCTGAGATGGTCAATCCCACGCTGATTAGCTTTGACGTGGATACCAGCGAATCTACGGAACCGCCTACTGGAGTCTGGTCAGCGGAGCTACGACCGAGTCTTCCAGGAGACTCTCGTCAACAGCCCAAAGAAACACCTCGCTATATCGTAAACCCCCTTACCAAGCTGCCTAGCTCATTTGCAGCAGACATACTTGCCAATTTCATTACAAACATATTTTTCCTGCCTATTGATATATATGCATTCCCGATTGCTGCACGGGCGCTTGCACGTAGGAGAGGCCTCCCTTACGAGGGTATGAATATTGGAGGCGGCGTGACTTGGAGTGGAATCTTCAATATCCTACAGCTGGATGTGATCAAGCTGCTCATCTCTGGCGAGGTTTGGGCTTTCACTACTATAGTTTCGCAGTGGTTACATGTTACCGAGGAAGAGTGGAAGGAAATACGCAAGGAAGAAGACCAAGAATGAGCAGACCTCCATGTAGGGTTCACCTAGCGAATCTGAGATTCCCATCTGCTACGCATACAACTGGTACATAACCAGCACCAAATTCGGCAATGAATTCAATGATCATTGATGTTCTAACCGCGGCTAAGATCATGTTGTGGCGCCTGTACTATATGGGCGGTTAGATAAGAACACGCATTTTGTTGATTAAGCGGTTGCCATACCTATATTATAAGGGGTAAGGCGGGAACTAGGTGCACTATCGTCATTCCGCACATAATTGTATACGATGTTTATCCAAGCGGACTGCTACGGTAGCACTTCGTAGAGTGCGGTATTACGCAACGATGGATCTCAAATAACCGCGGCACCTAAATCCATCGCAAAATATAATGTACCGTGAAGCCCTTTAGCCATCTTCGATGGATATCAAGCTTTATGCAGATCAATCCCCAACAAAATTAATTTAAATACTAGGTTGTCTCCAACCTTGTGCCCACCTATGCGAAGATGAGAATTTATTTACAGAAAAACAAGCCCCAGGCCGAGGAATATCACGGCTTCATACTGGAGAGAGATGCAGCAGCCCAAACACCGTTACCTTAACCCACTAAGCAACAAACAATGCTTTTTGCCCCCCTTTCCTGGCATCCTACCCCGACGTGAAGATGAGTGGATGTCGGCCCATATTTATACGTTCCAAGGGGCTCTCCGGAACATCTGCAACGTCTCCGCGGGCGGCCCGAGCCCCATATAGTTACGCCTGGAGCTACCGGTATTCCTTCTCTTATTTGCGAGCCGGTTTCATTCGTGATCGCGGGACGCCTCCTACATAGGTGATCTCACAAAGCGACGTCGATCCTGACGATGTAACGAAACGGCGATTACTGAGCTCCGGCTGTTCCGGTGGCGGCTCCTTTTCCCCCATTGCATAACCGGACCAAAGTCGATCACAGCTGAGGGATCTGAGTCATTTCCTTGCTTATTCCCGGTTGGAGATATGCAGGACCCGGTAATGGCTCGGTATTCCGCTTTTTTCCTTAACGCGCCGAGTCTCGGCCTGTGAGAACACGCCGGCGGGGTCTCTTCGGGAATAGCGGAGTCTGGTTTATGTTGGTATATATTACATTAAGTCTTTGGTATTATGCAAGCGATATTCATTAAGGGCTCGAGCGCATTCAACCGTAATGGTAGGTATGAAGTTTCTAGGTTACTTATGTCTATCAACCTTGTAATGACCCCGCTATAACTCACCCCACCATCAACTTCACATCAACTTCACGATTTCTTTTTCTAATTATAACTATATAATACATGTTACAACTTGTGTTTCCCCAGATTTGGGCGTTTATGTGACATATCGGTTCAGAGGCGAATTGCAAGAAACCCAGCCTTGGCATGATTATTAAAAGGTTAAGTTCGGTTCTTATTGGTGCCGTTGTTGTGGTTGGCACTGGCGGCTTGCTAGTACGTAATCTATGTAGCAACGCCTAGGTTAGGTCAATTATAGATATCTAGTCTAAGTCTTCCCTTGAACCTTCGAGCAATTGTTGGCGATCAGAAGTGACTAAATCAATAATACCGATTTTAAAAATATATAACGGAAGATGTGTTGCTTCTAAGACAACAAAGCAAAGTTTTCAAGGTCTAGATGCTCCAAAGACTATTGCAATCCAGCGGGAGGTGGTGTGATTTCCTGGATGTTTGGATCGTGCTGAGAAGGATTATATGCGGGATACCAATTTAAGGCATCCTTTGGTATCATGACAATTCTGGGAAGGATAAGAATTCAATTGTAGATATAATAATCTGCCAATTTCTTGGACAAGCGATAAGCATGCTTTGAAGAGTCTTGAGCATATATACGTAACTAGTTATTGGATCGGGCGAGAGGGTGACTTTCACATGAATCTTGCGGGGCCCCAGAGTCCAGGCCAACGAACCCAGACCCTTGGATGTTGGCAAATGAAGACGTGAGCTCGACTAGAGCGTTCTTGGGATTAGCTTCAACCCCATCGCCATGCGATGCGGAGTAATCTAACCTTAGACAGCTACTGTAGATCACCCCATGATTTTGATGTGCTCCTAAGATGAAATGGCAATTGCTCCGATCGCTGGGTCTTGGCCGATTATAGTTTTGGTTTGAGGAGAGGATCACAAGAGTATAGAGATGAAAACACTATAACTACGGGCAAATTCTAACTTAGATAGGTAGCTAAGGATTAGCATAACTATATTCAACCTCTCTTAACAAAGGATCACATGAAGTTGGAGAGTTGGAGAGTTCCTATCGCCCACGGCCTTCTTCGCATTTAAAAATATATGGTTAGTATTGTTAAATAATACCTGGAACAGGGATTCCAAAGCTGCTAGCGGATAGACTAGACGTGTATAGTCATAAAGGACTAAACACGAGACGAGACTAGGTTACTATATTTTCCGGATCATCGTGCTAGCCGTTTATATAAGCCGTCCAGTCTACCGGTGTATCAACCATGTGGTAGCCAAGTATACAGCTATTACTCACATCCATGATCTAGCCCGGAGGCCTAGAGCTTGGCACCGGACACGTGGAGAGGAATAAGATCTCGATCTGTTGCCTAGTTTTCCTCTGTCCTTTGTCATGACAAGTGTATATATAGTAAAGATTCGTTGGTATTCTTTCAAGTATCAGATTATGCCGTCAATGCTATACCTAGTCAAAAATGTTGAAAGAAAAAAGCCTTTAGTCCGACTAGTGACAGGACAAAGCGGAACGGCGTGGGGCTGAGTAAGAGCGGTGGAGACCTCCGGAGAACCTAGTCCTGATATGCATCCGCTTAGTATGCACCAAGGTGGAGAACTTGCAGGGTTACGTAATGTGAGGTTAATGGTGACAGTGAAGGATCGGAGTACGTAGGTACATACCTAGGTACCATAGTATTGTTGTACCGCGCGTGGCCCTTCAGCCCGCTTTTCCCCTAAGATGCAGGTGTTAATTCACTGGGGAGATATTTGACCCGCTTTCGCAGTTACATTTGATGCCGACTGTTAAGTCTTTGATTGGAAGCTACATTTTAGGTACGAAGTTACCCTCGATAAGGTACTGGAACTCCGGCTTTTGGTTAGGTACCTGGGTACATATGCTTGGTTGTGTCACCCTGTCACAACAAATCCAAAGACAGATCGTGACCTTATAGAAATTTCATCCTTGATACGTCACATTCCTACCACATTCATTTTATTACAGTACATCATATTGTCTTTTAACTACTTATATTGTAGAACACATGTCTCAATCTACAAAGGAATTTGCGATAAAGTATAAAAAATAAAAAATAAAAAATAAAAATACCGTTATTCGGATTTCCAATTCGTCTCCGAACACGGCTGACGGTTATTTGGATATTTTCGTTATTTTCTAGAAATTATAGAAATTCGACCGATTTCTCCCGCTAGTTGAAGCCGAAACTGGAGCCCCATCTGCCAAAGACGCATGGCGGATGCTTAAATGCTAACATTTTCTAATGAATACAATCTCATAGGACACAAGGCCCACATGGCTTAGGGTTGGCCGCATGCATCGATGATGACAGAACAAAAGAGTTTAGTGTGTCATGTAGGTACTTATGTATGTACACCGCGACGGTGACGGGGTCGACACCGATCATACCCCTGAAATCCTATGCTAGGTAAAGTCTCTTACTATCCCGGTATTTACCGCTCAGGTTCTGCATATTGTTACAATTCGAATGACACCTATTTGCGCTTGCGGCTTGCATTTTGCATTTTGCATACTGCAAACTTACGGAATGCATGCGCACAATCATCTTCCATGACGGACGGTCTTATATCGGATAGCCCTAGGACCACACGGATCATTGGTAGGCCGGGCGAACGGCCTTCGATCGTGTCTGTTTCCTATGTCGTACATGCCCAGGTCTTCATTATTGACAGGGGTGCCTCTTCCAGATGCCAATTGGATAAATATTATCCCTTTTCTCGAATTCGATTACGATTGTGATATGTGTTATGGATCTGTTCTTTACACTCTCGCAAGTGCTCGATCAGCTTTCCTGGTAACTTATATTAATGTTGAAATCTGTATTCAGGTCGCTTACATAAACGTACTGATCATTTCGTTAACTATTACCCAATGTTATTGCCCAATATGTAGAAAGCTAGCAACGATATCTCACCTTGATGGACATCAATTCCATAGAAATACCTTCCTCTCTTCCGTTAAGCTGACTCGCGGTTGTGATCAGCTAAGCCGCCTTCAGACCAGGAAACCAAGCAACGTGATGCAATCAATAACTGCAGAGAACCAGCGACTTGGTATTATTATAGTGTGTATCCGTGATTGGCTGCTCCGCAGATTCCAAGACAGACTGCCTCACGCCAATTAGACGTGGGCGTGGAGCTTTTTTACGATCATGATCCTGAAGGCCAAGGCTGGGGTTTTACGGAAAAGAATCGGAAAAGAAATCAACTCCCCAGACTCCATACGGTAAGATTGCCCATAGCTAGCTGGCTGTTAGGTACCGTAAATGTATTATACTGGGTTATGATGTAGGTATTGCTTAGTCTGGTAGTCAACAAATCACATTTCTCCTATTGAGCCAGGCTATTGCTGTTTAGAGGAATTGTAGAGGTCACAAGGATGACGAGGCTACGCCTTACCAATTGCTTCAGATGTGGGCATGTGAGAAGGCCGTTTTATCCTTCTAACGTTAGTCTCACGAAAGCGTTCCTTGCCGAAGCCAATGATAGGAGACGCACGCGAACACTTATTATGGAGATCGCAAAGCTAGGTTTTCACCAGGATTGTTATGCAGGATATTAGACCCCGAGTTACGATTATGAGCCCCCATCGGGAATCTAGTGGAGCGGCGACTTTTCCCAGAGAGGCATTCATTTATGGCCGGTGGTAATCTGGTATTATGTAGCTCTCGTGGTAACAATGGAATATACATACATAATACCATGAATCCCCCCCACCAATATCCACCTCCACACAATCCCGTCCTATCCACCCGTCCTTTCTTTCTCCTTGTTAATTCTAAAACTCCTAAACCCTAAAACTTCTTCTCATGCTGTCGAGAATCCTGGAGTCTCGTCTACTAGTCGTCGTTCGGTGTGGAAGTCAGAGGCGGGAGAGAGAATCCTCTCCCCCGTAGTCTCGTCGACGCAAATATCGACTATTGGATTCGACTTACAGCTTATACTTACAAACACCGTTTACCTCGTGACCTAGACATTCCAATACGTCTTCGTACCTTTTTTGCACCGAAACTTGTCTAAGACATCTAGGATAACT